CTCATGTGGTGGACGGGGCAGCGAGAGTGACGGTAAGGGGAGTGCTCATGTGGTGGACGGGGCAGCGAGAGTGACGGTAAGGGGAGTGCTCATGTGGTGGACGGGGCAGCGAGAGTGACGGTAAGGGGAGTGCTCATGTGGTGGACGGGGCAGCGAGAGTGACGGTAAGGGGAGTGCTCATGTGGTGGACGGGGCAGCGAGAGTGACGGTAAGGGGAGTGCTCATGTGGTGGACGGGGCAGCGAGAGTGACGGTAAGGGGAGTGCTCACGTGGTGGACGGGGCAGCGAGAGTGACGGTAAGGGGAGTGCTCATGTGGTGGACGGGGCAGCGAGAGTGACGGTAAGGGGAGTGCTCATGTGGTGGACGGGGCAGCGAGAGTGACGGTAAGGGGAGTGCTCATGTGGTGGACGGGGCAGCGAGAGTGACGGTAAGGGGAGTGCTCATGTGGTGGACGGGGCAGCGAGAGTGACGGTAAGGGGAGTGCTCATGTGGTGGACGGGGCAGCGAGAGTGACGGTAAGGGGAGTGCTCATGTGGTGGACGGGGCAGCGAGAGTGTGGGAGTGTCATGTTCGGCATAATGAGAAGAGAAGGTGCTGCCGATGAGAGTTGAACCCGCGACCACTAAGACCAAAGGTACCCACTGGGACATTCTTGCTTCCACAACAGGGAGTGCTCATGTGGTGGACGGGGCAGCGAGAGTGACGGTAAGGGGAGTGCTCATGTGGTGGACGGGGCAGCGAGAGTGACGGTAAGGGGAGTGCTCATGTGGTGGACGGGGCAGCGAGAGTGACGGTAAGGGGAGTGCTCACGTGGTGGACGGGGCAGCGAGAGTGACGGTAAGGGGAGTGCTCATGTGGTGGACGGGGCAGCGAGAGTGACGGTAAGGGGAGTGCTCATGTGGTGGACGGGGCAGCGAGAGTGACGGTAAGGGGAGTGCTCATGTGGTGGACGGGGCAGCGAGAGTGACGGTAAGGGGAGTGCTCATGTGGTGGACGGGGCAGCGAGAGTGACGGTAAGGGGAGTGCTCATGTGGTGGACGGGGCAGCGAGAGTGACGGTAAGGGGAGTGCTCATGTGGTGGACGGGGCAGCGAGAGTGACGGTAAGGGGAGTGCTCATGTGGTGGACGGGGCAGCGAGAGTGACGGTAAGGGGAGTGCTCATGTGGTGGACGGGGCAGCGAGAGTGACGGTAAGGGGAGTGCTCATGTGGTGGACGGGGCAGCGAGAGTGACGGTAAGGGGAGTGCTCACGTGGTGGACGGGGCAGCGAGAGTGACGGTAAGGGGAGTGCTCATGTGGTGGACGGGGCAGCGAGAGTGACGGTAAGGGGAGTGCTCATGTGGTGGACGGGGCAGCGAGAGTGACGGTAAGGGGAGTGCTCATGTGGTGGACGGGGCAGCGAGAGTGACGGTAAGGGGAGTGCTCATGTGGTGGACGGGGCAGCGAGAGTGACGGTAAGGGGAGTGCTCATGTGGTGGACGGGGCAGCGAGAGTGACGGTAAGGGGAGTGCTCATGTGGTGGACGGGGCAGCGAGAGTGTGGGAGTGTCATGTTCGGCATAATGAGAAGAGAAGGTGCTGCCGATGAGAGTTGAACCCGCGACCACTAAGACCAAAGGTACCCACTGGGACATTCTTGCTTCCACAACAGGGAGTGCTCATGTGGTGGACGGGGCAGCGAGAGTGACGGTAAGGGGAGTGCTCATGTGGTGGACGGGGCAGCGAGAGTGACGGTAAGGGGAGTGCTCATGTGGTGGACGGGGCAGCGAGAGTGACGGTAAGGGGAGTGCTCATGTGGTGGACGGGGCAGCGAGAGTTACGGTAAGGGGAGTGCTCATGTGGTGGACGGGGCAGCGAGAGTGACGGTAAGGGGAGTGCTCATGTGGTGGACGGGGCAGCGAGAGTGACGGTAAGGGGAGTGCTCATGTGGTGGACGGGGCAGCGAGAGTGACGGTAAGGGGAGTGCTCATGTGGTGGACGGGGCAGCGAGAGTGACGGTAAGGGGAGTGCTCATGTGGTGGACGGGGCAGCGAGAGTGACGGTAAGGGGAGTGCTCATGTGGTGGACGGGGCAGCGAGAGTGACGGTAAGGGGAGTGCTCATGTGGTGGACGGGGCAGCGAGAGTGACGGTAAGGGGAGTGCTCATGTGGTGGACGGGGCAGCGAGAGTGACGGTAAGGGGAGTGCTCATGTGGTGGACGGGGCAGCGAGAGTGACGGTAAGGGGAGTGCTCATGTGGTGGACGGGGCAGCGAGAGTGACGGTAAGGGGAGTGCTCATGTGGTGGACGGGGCAGCGAGAGTGACGGTAAGGGGAGTGCTCATGTGGTGGACGGGGCAGCGAGAGTGACGGTAAGGGGAGTGCTCATGTGGTGGACGGGGCAGCGAGAGTGACGGTAAGGGGAGTGCTCATGTGGTGGACGGGGCAGCGAGAGTGACGGTAAGGGGAGTGCTCATGTGGTGGACGGGGCAGCGAGAGTGACGGTAAGGGGAGTGCTCATGTGGTGGACGGGGCAGCGAGAGTGACGGTAAGGGGAGTGCTCATGTGGTGGACGGGGCAGCGAGAGTGACGGTAAGGGGAGTGCTCATGTGGTGGACGGGGCAGCGAGAGTGACGGTAAGGGGAGTGCTCATGTGGTGGACGGGGCAGCGAGAGTGACGGTAAGGGGAGTGCTCATGTGGTGGACGGGGCAGCGAGAGTGACGGTAAGGGGAGTGCTCATGTGGTGGACGGGGCAGCGAGAGTGACGGTAAGGGGAGTGCTCATGTGGTGGACGGGGCAGCGAGAGTGACGGTAAGGGGAGTGCTCATGTGGTGGACGGGGCAGCGAGAGTGACGGTAAGGGGAGTGCTCATGTGGTGGACGGGGCAGCGAGAGTGACGGTAAGGGGAGTGCTCATGTGGTGGACGGGGCAGCGAGAGTGACGGTAAGGGGAGTGCTCATGTGGTGGACGGGGCAGCGAGAGTGACGGTAAGGGGAGTGCTCATGTGGTGGACGGGGCAGCGAGAGTGACGGTAAGGGGAGTGCTCATGTGGTGGACGGGGCAGCGAGAGTGACGGTAAGGGGAGTGCTCATGTGGTGGACGGGGCAGCGAGAGTGACGGTAAGGGGAGTGCTCATGTGGTGGACGGGGCAGCGAGAGTGACGGTAAGGGGAGTGCTCATGTGGTGGACGGGGCAGCGAGAGTGACGGTAAGGGGAGTGCTCATGCCTGTCACACATCGCTCATAGGAACGTGCTGGCGCTCAGTGGCTGGTGCTCACCAATGCTCACGTGGTGGACGGTGCAGCGAGAGTGACGGTAAGAGGAAGGCAGGAATCACTCTATTACATGCCACATGTGGCGTATGTCTCAGCAGCCAGGGGCATGTGCTGGTGCTCGACGGCTGGTGCTCACCAATGCTCATGTGGTTGATGGTGCAGCGAGAGTGACGGTAAGAGGGATGAGGAAGCGTGAATGCGTCTGGATGGGAACAGATCTCCGTCCCGCTTTAAACGGTGGTCACACATTGCCCATAGCGACGTGCTTGCTGGTGCTCGACGGCTGGTTCGCATCAACGCGCACGTGGTTGATGGTGCAGCGAGAGTGACGGTAAGGGGAGTGATTATGTCCCACTGATCATGTCACCCGTAAGCAGTGAACGTTTTGCCAGATGTCAACGGTGCTCATGGAGTAGACGGACGGTGCAGTGAGAGTGACGGTAAGGGGTGTGCTCATGCTGCACAGATTGTATCATGTCACTCATGGGTGGAAGCGGAATCATGTTGTGGAGGGTGCAGCAGAAGTGATGGTAGGGGGAGTGCGGCGCATATCACGGCATGTGAATCACAGGCTCTATAGACATCGGCGCTCGCCAGTCCGCAACTATGCCCATGTGCTGGATGGGGCAGCGAGAGTGACGGTAGGGGTGAGGACGAGAGAATGTCTGTCTGTCTGGATGTGACTTTTGAGTCACACACATGTGACTCGACATGACTCGAAATTCACCTCGAATTTCTGCCACACATGGGTCGAAGGGAGGGACATTTGCAACTCATCGGCCATGGGGACTTGCTGGGTGTGCTCAGCGGCTGGTGCTCTGGAACGCACCATAGTGGTAACCCCACATGTGGTTGATGGTGCAGCAGCTTGATGGTATGGCGAGGAGAGGAATCGATCACCCTACTGGGTTCAAATGGACATTCATGTCTCAGCTCAGTCTTCTGTGACATGTGTGACATGTGTGACATGCGTGACATGCGTGACATGCGTGACATGTGTGACATGCGTGACATGTGTGACATGTGTGACATGCGTGACATGTGTGACATGCGTGACATGTGTGACATGTGTGACATGCGTGACATGTGTGACATGCGTGACATGTGTGACATGTGTGACATGTGTGACATGTGTGACATGTGTGACGTGTGTGACATGCGTGACATGTGTGACATGCGTGACATGTGTGACATGCGTGACATGTGTGACATGCGTGACATGTGTGACATGCGTGACATGCGTGACATGTGTGACATGCGTGACATGTGTGACATGTGTGACATGTGTGACATGTGTGACATGTGTGACATGTGTGACATGTGTGACATGTGTGACATGTGTGACATGTGTGACATGTGTGACATGTGTGACATGTGTGACATGTGTGACATGTGTGACATGTGTGACATGTGTGACATGTGTGACATGTGTGACATGTGTGACATGTGTGACATGTGTGACATGTGTGACATGTACATACATGTCACAGAAGACTGAGCTGAGGCACATGCTGGTCCACACACCCCAGTGCATGGCATGGCTTGGGGTGATGGCTTTGTGCATGCTTCTTGCACAGAGATGCATGTGTGTTGTTGCTCACTTAGTGTTGGGTGCGAGGTATGTCTGCACACATAGTTGCATATGTACTGCTTAAGGGTAGATGAAAGGGATGGTAAGGAAACGACGAGAAGGGAGGGAAGGCAGGTGATGCATGTGTGTTGTTGCTCACTAGTGTTGGGTGCGAGGTATGTCTGCACACATAGGAGGGTGTCAGTCGCAGCTAGTTCACCTGCCTTCCCTCCCTTCTCGTCGTTTCCTCCCATCCCTTTCATCTTTCTCCCATCCCTTTCATCTTCCTTCCATCCCTTTCATCTTCCTCCCATCCATCGTCCCTTCCCGTACCTCCCATCCCCTCCATCCCTCCCATTTCTCCCCCCCATCCTGTCAGCTGCTTCTCCCCGACGGTCGTCGCTTTGCCACAGAGTCAACCGCACTGCATCCCTCTGCAGACCTCGCAGTGCTCAAGGTACTCTCTCACTGCATTCGTCTGTTGTACCCTAGTATGCGGTTACTTAGCTCTGACTGACAGATCTGCTGCCAGCAACAACATCAGCGCATGGGGGTCTGCCTGTGGTTGTTGTCTGAATATGCCACATGGAGAGGTTAATGCCATTATTTTGTGCCGAGAGGTTCAGGTTCAGGGTTCTTATTACTCCACTACATTGATACCTAGTTGACTTTGAGTCGACTCAGAAGTCACCTTATTTCTCCACCACATCATGATGACTGCTCGAGAGGCCCGCTTGAGTTGATGCTCCCGCTTCAACCAGTTCATCAGTGCTTCACTTAAAAGGGGGAAATTTCATGACCACCTACTCTCTTCTCTAGCATGAATAATCAGAGAGGTTCCCCCTTTAAGAGGCTCTCATACTTCCCCCTTAAAAGTTGTTGCATGTTGTATTGTATCGTGTCTATCTACTGTTGGCCAGTGGGTGACTCACAGCCTGTTGACCCGAAACGGAAAGGTTTCTCTGCAGGCAGCAAACACGTTCTTTCAACTCACGCGTTCCTTGAGGCTCAACTCATGCGTTCCTTGAGGCTCAACTCATGCGTTCCTTGAGGCTCAACTCAACTCATGCGTTCCTTGAGGCTCAACTCATGCGTTCCTTCTCTTAGTTGTCCTTTCCTCCCACTGCTGCACAGTTTGTGAAAGAAGGAGTGTTTTGAGACGTCTCAAAACAGCTGCACAGTTTGTGACTCACTGCCTGTTGACCAGAAGGGGGGGAGGGGTGGAGTTTTCTGTGCAGGCAGCAACATGTTTCTTTCAACTCACGCATTCCTTTTCTTGGTTTACTTTTCCTCCCACTGCTGCCCAGTAGGTGACTCATAGGCTGTTTACCAGAGGGCCTACTGTATCAGCAGTCTTGGTTTCCGGCCTGCAAGGGATTGACGAGCCGGCTGTATCAGCAGCGAATGGAGCATCGACTGTGGCAGGAGAGGAGCGGGGAGCATCGACTGTGGCAGGAGAGGAGCGGGGAGCATCGACTGTGGCAGGAGAGGAGCGGGGAGCATCGACTGTAGCAGGAGAGGAGCGGGGAGCATCGACTGTAGCGGTAACGATTGGGGACGACAAGACTGCAGCAGACAGGGTTGGGTCAACTGGAGGAACGATTCCTGTGGACTGTTGCAGGGGAGTGGGTTCAAGAGAAGCGGATGGGAGTCCTGCCGTAGCAGGCATATTTGGGGAAGTGAGAGCAGAGGTGCAAGAGACAGGAGGGGAGGGAGGAGTTCAGAGGGATGGAGGGGAAAGAGCAGGTGAGAGGGATGGAAGAGAGGGAGGAGAGGGCAGCAGAGAAGACAAGGAGTGGCTCCCCTGTGCGCCCATTGGTGATAGTGATGACGTGGAGCTTGCTGATTTGGTGATCTCGGTGGGCAATCCTGTGGGGCTGCCTGGCAGCATCAGCCTGGGCGTGATCAGCAGCCTGCACCGCACTGCTGCTCAGGTGAGGAAGGGGGTTGAAGGGGGAAGGTGGGGGTTGATGGGGGAGTGGGGGAGTGGCAGAGAGAAGATCTACATGGGTTTACGGTGGGCAGCATCAGCCTGGGCAATGAAATGTGACGCATGCACGGCGCAGCCGCTCAGATGAGTGTGAGGGTGAGAGGGTGGGGAATGGGATGTGACACATGAAGTGCAGGTGAGTGTGATGGTGGGGAATTTTCCTCATTCCACTCACTCCTTCCCCCCATTCTCTCCCACCCCCTGGTGTTTCCTCTCCCCCTCTCCCCCTCTTCCCTTACCTCTCCTCTCCCTCCAGGTGGGAGTGCCGCACTCCACACTCCACTTCTTCCAAACCGACTGTGCCATCAACCTGGGGAGCTTTCATTGCTCCGTTCACCCTCCCACTCGCTCTCCCACTCCCCTTCCCCCACCCCTCCCACCAGGTGGGAGTGCCGCACTCCTCACTCCACTTCTTCCAAACAGATTGTGCCATCAACCCGGGCAGTTCAGGCAGTCCCCTCGTGAACGAGTTCGGAGAGGTGCGTGCAGCTCTCGCAACCTGCTTTCTTTAGATGCCATATGCTGCTTGCTTGCCTCCCATCAACCTAGGCAGCTCCGGCAGTCCCCTTGTGAACGAGTTTGGGGAGGTGCGTGCAGCTGTGTAAAGCTGCTTCCCCTGTATGCCACATGCTGCTCGCTTGCCACATGCTGCTCGCTTGCCACATGCTGCTCGCTTGCCACATGCTGCTCGCTTGCCACATGCTGCTCGCTTGCCACATGCTGCTCGCTTGCCACATCCTATCAATCCGGAGAGCTCAGGCAGTCCTCTCGTGAACGAGTTTGGAGAGGTGGGTTGGTGCTCCTCTCTCAATCCTCTGCCGATGTGGGTGGTGTGGTGTAAGCCTGCTTCCCCTGTATGTCACATGCTGCTTGCTTGGCCTCCCATCAACTCGGAGAGCTCAGACAGTCCTTCCGTAAACATGTATCGTGGAGGTGTGAGCTGCACTCTCAAGTGATTTTTGAGGCGCCTCAAAAACCTCTGGCAGTCCTTCTGACAACATGTTTTGTGGAGGTGCGAGCTGCACTCAAGCGATTTTTGAGGCGCCTCAAAAACCTCTGGCAGTCCTTCCGTCAACATGTATCGTGGAGGTGTGAGCTGCACTCTCAAGCGATTTTTGAGGCGCCTCAAAAACCTCTGGCAGTCCTTCTGACAACATGTTTTGTGGAGGTGCGAGCTGCACTCTCAAGCGATTTTTGAGGCGCCTCAAAAACCTCTGGCAGTCCTTCCGTAAACATGTATCGTGGAGGTGCGAGCTGCACTCTCAAGCGATTTTTGAGGCGCCTCAAAAACCTCTGGCAGTCCTTCCGTCAACATGTATCGTGGAGGTGTGAGCTGCACTCTCAAGCGATTTTTGAGGCGCCTCAAAAACCTCTGGCAGTCCTTCTGACAACATGTTTTGTGGAGGTGCGAGCTGCACTCTCAAGCGATTTTTGAGGCGCCTCAAAAACCTCTGGCAGTCCTTCCGTAAACATGTATCGTGGAGGTGCGAGCTGCACTCTCAAGCGATTTTTGAGGCGCCTCAAAAACCTCTGGCAGTCCTTCTGACAACATGTTTTGTGGAGGTGCGAGCTGCACTCTCAAGCGATTTTTGAGGCGCCTCAAAAACCTCTGGCAGTCCTTCCGTAAACATGTATCGTGGAGGTGCGAGCTGCACTCTCAAGCGATTTTTGAGGCGCCTCAAAAACCTCTGGCAGTCCTTCTGACAACATGTTTTGTGGAGGTGCGAGCTGCACTCTCAAGCGATTTTTGAGGCGCCTCAAAAACCTCTGGCAGTCCTTCCGTAAACATGTATCGTGGAGGTGTGAGCTGCTTTCTCAAGCGATTTTTTAGGCGCCTCAAAAACCTCTGGCAGTCCTTCTGACAACATGTTTTGTGGAGGTGCGAGCTGCACTCTCAAGCGATTTTTGAGGCGCCTCAAAAACCTCTGGCAGTCCTTCCGTAAACATGTATCGTGGAGGTGTGAGCTGCTTTCTCAAGCGATTTTTTAGGCGCCTCAAAAACCTCTGGCAGTCCTTCTGACAACATGTTTTGTGGAGGTGCGAGCTGCACTCTCAAGCGATTTTTGAGGCGCCTCAAAAACCTCTGGCAGTCCTTCTGACAACATGTTTTGTGGAGGTGCGAGCTGCACTCTCAAGCGATTTTTGAGGCGCCTCGAAAACCTCTGGCAGTCCTTCTGATAACATGTTTTGTGGAGGTGCGAGCTGCACTCTCAAGCTTCCCCTAAGTGCTGTGTGCCCACTGTGTAATGCTCTGTAGAGCTGCTTCCCTGTATGCCTTGTGCTGACTGGCCCCCCATCAATCCGGGCAGATCTGGCAGTCCCCTTGTGAACAGAACCTCATATGAGGTCATGCTTTGCCTAGCTTGCTGCTGACATGGCACGATCTGATTGGTGGCTGCAGGTCATTGGCATCACAACAGCCATCCGGTCGGATGCTGAAGGAGTGGCGTTCGCCATCCCCATCAACCATGTGAGAATATCATTCGAGTCGACTCTAAAGTCAGCTCGCGTCACACTGCATCTCTCACCGAGAGCAATCTGCTGTTTCAGATTCCCACACACAGAGCCATCTCTTATGGTATTCTTGTGTTTCTTGCACTCGGTCAAGTGTTTGCTTCCTCTCTCTGCAGGCCATTCGTGAGCTGAGTTCCACCAGGGAGCTCTCAGGCAGTCCCCTTGTAGAGCCATCTCTTACTGTTGTGTTTCTTGCACGGAGTTTCGTAAGTGCTTCTTGCACTCATTCGAGTGTTACCGTATCTTCCTCTCTCTGCAGGCCATTCGTGAGCTGAGTTCCACCGGTATACACTTGGATGCAAGAGGCTTGGACACTGTTTGTGGAAGAACTGTATTCTCCCGGACATAACACCCTAGGGTATAGCTAAAAATACAGGGAAAAAATGGGGGGGGTTCTCCTCATAGGAAAAAAATACATACCGTAATACCCGGGTCTTTACATATGGCATATCTTAGTGTTAGTGTTTTTTTAATTAGTCAATGTGGGTGTTTTGCTGGTCGTTTTAGCATCACTGCCTGAGGCGCGAATGTGAGTTTCGGCCTCAAACTTCATCGCCCCCACGAAAATGGCATGTGGCACCTCTCTTGCCACTTGCAACGGAAGATTCACCTGCACGTGGCGACAGAGAAATAGTGGGAGGGGGCAAATCTCGGCAGATTGCCTTTGAATGTACTGCAAAATTTCATTGAGGGAGAAATTCACACGTATTGCAGCTACTCGTTAATGACTAATAATGAATCCGTAAGAAAAGGGGGAGTGTTATAGAAAATCAGCCAAAAAGGGGGGTATAGTAGAAACGAGGTCTATCATAACACCCACCCCGCACAAGCTACCCGGGGGTGTACAATTATGGGGGGGTGTTTTGTCCGGGAGTATACGGAATGTAAGTTCCATAACTTTGGACAATACCTGTATGTTATTCTTCAAGGGCCGGACTTGGCTCTGCAGGGGTTTTACTCCAGTGCCAGCCACAGATGGCTATATGCCGCAGACATCCTTTCATTCGTTTGGGGCGCGCCGGTGTTCGGTCAAGTCCTGCGCGTTACGAGGTTAGGTCCTTTTGTTGTGCAAGAATTGTTATGGTACCAAAGTGCACTAGATTAATAAGTATTGTTATTGGAAAATAAGGGTACGGTATGTAAGGAGGATGTTTGGAAAACTCTTCTCTGTCACGTCAATCTATTGCATGCGTTGGACGAGTGAGTCCACCTTGCTGTGTATGCATTCAGCAGAGATTCTTATTGGATTCGCAGCTCTAGCAAGAATTTGCACCTTTGAAAAGCCATGACAATTGCCAAAAGTTGTACTGGGAGGGTGGTGTCAAGATTGCTCTTGGTATGGTCCTATCATCAAGCTGTGCAAAAGGTTCCTGAATGAAAATGCCGATGACCAGCTATGCAAGTGGTTCCTGAATGAACACGCCGATGCCGGGGATCGAACCCGGATCTTCCGCGTGACAGGCGGAGATACTGACCATTATACTACATCGACCTGACATTCCTGCAGTTGTTTAATCTATACATAATTTCCAGTTTATTTTTTCTAGCACGGATGTGACAGCGGTTTCCAGTTTTTTTTTTCTCGGAAGCCAGGTTTCCAGAACAGCGGTTTTACAACCGGAAGTTATCATTGCAGAACCGCTGAAGACAAAACAGAATGTCACTGTTCAGTAGAATCTTCGAGCAATGATACGTTCTAGCCGCCTGTTCCTACCCCTGAAATCCGATTGGGCAGGGTAAAACGAAAGGAAAACGTTACAACCCGCATACCAGATAGGTCAATCGCACCCTCCCAGCACCAGACTTTCGAGTGTAACTAATAGTTTCCCTTGCTAATTTCAACGCCTGGGCAGGGAGGCGTGAAATTGTCGTTTCTCACTGTGGTTGAAATTGGGGGGATGATACAAATCCCCCACCAACCGCAATATCAACACTGGCTGAGTCAGTCTGGTTCGAGCAATGCTGACTGGGATTTACACACGCGTCGGACGCGGAGTCATTACTAGTCACTTGGCCTTTGCTGTAGCCCGCCTTTCAAGTACAACAACCGTCTTTCTATGCGATGAAAGCGGACAGCGCAGCCGAGCGTGGCGATAGCTTTAGTTTCCGGATCAAGTTCCGCGCTTTTGCGATGGCTGCGCATGTGCAACATGCGATGATCGGGATAGGACCAGCACATCTGGTCTATCATAGAGCCGCTCCGGGATGATCCCGCCCTTCGCTCGGCCCGAGCGAGGCCCGAGCGAGGCCCTTCCCTTTTGGTCTCCGGGAGACCGGTCTCCGCCGCCTCGCCTTCGGAGCAGGTTGATCACTCATCCCGCAATGCCGCTCCAGTGGTGGCACCACCAGTCCCGCGCGCACCGACCGAGAGCAGAGGAACTTCCGGAGCGCGCACCGCCGCGGCACGTGCATTAAGCGAGTCAGCGAGCCTTACGCCTTTTCTCTTTGCAGCCAGTCAGGAGGCCTCCCTTCCAACTCGGACCACAACCTCCCCCGCCAGCCATGGCGCGCCAGGCTCCTCCGCGTGTCCCGTGGCTGCTGCTGCTGCTGCTGCTCGCTCTGGTCGTCTCGGCGACTGTCGCCGTCGCGCAGAGCCCCACTGGCAGTCCGGGTACGTTCGCCCCAGTCATCTTCGTGCCGGCCACTCAGAGCCTGAGGCTCGGTCCGGGGTACACTGCGTCTGTGAACCCCGCAACCCACCCGCCTTCATTGGGCGTTGTCGACTGGAAAGGCGCGCCTGTCGCGCCCACTTATAACGCGGACGGATCCGCCACTGTTGCCGGGTACACCGCGTACCCAAACGGCACCGTCACTGGTCCGGGCGGCCTTTCGATCTACCTTCAAGGTTCCAGCTCTGACGCGGCATTGTTCGCCGTGGGAGCAACAACAGTTTTGAGAAACGGAACCATTGTGGATGGTTCGGGAAAAAAGGTCGTGCCGATGAAAAATGGAGACGGGTCGTACACAGCAGGGGACCTGACTGGGTGGCCTAACGGCT